AGAAAAGCTATAATTTTTAACATTATATATTGCAATGCAAAGACTGGCAAAGGTCACAGTCTCAATCCCTCAAAATAAAACAAAGTTTTCCTGGGTTCTAGCAAACAATCTAAATGCGCAACAGAAAACTATGGTTTTACTCAACCTGCTAACTATAAAAATCAAAATGTATATTTCTGTGACTGATCATTGGTATAAATATAAATAAATGTTCAATTGTTTAATTGACATAAATCTGCATTCAAAAATAAAACTAACAACACCAAACAAGGAGAAAGCAGGGAGAGGTGACAACAGCAACTCGCCAACAAATGAGCTATTACATGCAGGTACAATTAAACATACAAATAAACCAAACAATGTACACAGAAGATTTTGGAAAAGAAACTGCATCATGTTATGACAATGATTTAATGATTATTCATGTTAAAACACTGCATTAAATCCTTTCCGATTAAAAAGTAATCTTCAAAGGGGTGTTTTCATCTTTGTAAGAACAATGACACTTTGATTAACAAGTCATTGTCCCCAAGGCCATCGAAGATCAGATTGATTTTTGTTGTTTGACAGGAAGCTTTTTCTCAGATCAACAGGTGAATAAATGCATATATCAGATTTAATATTTCTGTTCCATATTTCACAAGAAATATGACCGAAAATATGATAAATCCTCAAGGACAGATGAACAGCATTGCACTGATTCGTGTTTATACATAATATCACTATGCTACCCACACCTTAATTGCACCTTTACAAAATGAAAGCCATTGAATCACCTCTAAGGTAATTTCTAGGTTTTTCTTCGTTCGAGTAGGATAGTCAAACTAATACCTGTGGTTATAGGCCCACATTAGTCTACACCTAATTATTTAGGAACACCTCCACACAAGGGCAAGTGTAAGAGCAGTTACACTGTCTGATGGGACATGCTCATTTGGGAATGATTAATACAGGTTTTCATCGTAGCTAACATACTGCACTGCTACCAAACATGAACGAATATGTGCAAATACAGGTAGGCTATATGACCGTTAGACGGATGACAAAGGCGAGACGATTCCAGTCATGGAAAGGCAGTGATCTGTTTTCCTGAACGATCGACCTGTTAACCTGCCACAAGCCTTCTTGGTCCTTGTCTGACACACACACACACGCGCGCGCACACGCTTCGGATCTCCACTGGAAAGCTTCCTTCCTCCTGACATCCTAAACCACCGAGCTACATAGTAAATCATGGTCTGTTTTCAAATTGGCTTAGAACATGCAGTGAAGAGTGATTGTGCCAATGAAGGAAAAAATCAAACCCCGTTACCGTTCTCTCCGCGTCGGATCCTGTTGGATGCTCGACTTGGTGGGCGCCATCTTCCTGTGACAATTATTTGATTTCTTACTTTCTGTTCTCTCCTTTTTTCGCTCCTATGCTTTTTTCTAACACAAAGTCGCGGCGGTGCGCTGCGCATGGACAGCAATGCGTCATGGTCGGTGTGTTAAGACAAAGCCATGACTGTGTGTGTGAAAGAGTATGTGTTTGTGTGATTTCCGCGTACGTGCTACGCGTGCGTTTTGTGCTTATGTCTCTTCTGCAGCCGCTTAGAAGCGTGAAAATAGCGGTTAGTGGAGGTGAAGACAGGGACAGTGCTGCAGCAAATGCATGCCGCGCAGCGTGAGGAGCAACCCGGGATGAACGCCTTTCAGATCCCGCTGTTTTTTCCAGTCTCTCTTCCCTATATACACAGCTTCGGATTTTAGCACAACAGCTTAATTTTCTGTATGCGCTCTTTCGGGGGGAAAAAAGCGAAAGAGCACGTTAGATCTTTAAACGATCGCCGCTGCAGGTGCCCATATTTCCCGATTTCATTTCCGAGGTGGAGGTTTTTCTCTGCAGTCGAGGCTGGATTTTTCGGATCACGTTTTTCCCACCTCTTTATACTCTTCCTCTTCACGGGGGAAAAAAAAGGACACATTTGGTTTCCGTTATGTTCCTGCAGAACAACGCCACACAGTTGCAGCCAGTCACTTTGCGCGTGTGTGCATACGCATAAGCACACTCACACACACACATACACACGTACACACACCTCCCCATATATATATATATATATATATATATATATATATATATATATATATATATACATACATATATGGCAAACAGGTGACGCAAACAAATCTAACAGCAGATGATGGGTGACAAGCAAAATATGTGCATCTCCCCACATACTTGCATCACCCACTTGTCTCAAGTTTACGATAAACACCCCAATTATTTTTAACCCGGGGGGAAAAGAGCTTGCATGTTTGTGTCACAAGTAACACATGTTGTTTTTTTTCTTCTATTTTAGTCAACAAAACACATTTTCCCCAAGGCGACAATGATTGAACATAAGTGATGTCTTATTATCATATGACAGACTATTACCTGTTTCTTTTTCCCTACAACGTTAATTTGAATGAAAACTTTTCCATTTATAATTCGTGATAACCAAATTGTGTATGGTTACCCCTGTGTGTATGGTTGTACTGCTGGAAGTTGAAAACCCACCTTATCTATCCCAATGACCTGTCAAGGTCAAAGACATGCTGTAAATTCTCCGTACAAACAAGTGCCACGTTGCAAACATTGTAGTGGAGAACAATAAAGTCTGGAGAAAATAAACATAATCTCCAGTTGGCGTTTTACAGGAGGTGAACACCCAGTAATCAATATAGGCAGTTTCATACTAAGATTTTCTGAAAAACTTTAACGTTAGCTGTTCATTTGTGAAGTTCCCCATTTTGATACCCGTTTAGAGATGTACAACAAACAAAATCAAACCAGATCCTTTAATAATCAGACGTTAAGCACTGTGGTGATAATCTTTTGCAATTTTTAACGAAACCTTCTTGAAGCAAATACATTTTCCCCACATCACAAACTCTTGAAGCAAGAAGAGATCAGCTGTATTATCATGTTTAACCCGGGTTTTGGGAAACCAGCATTTTTTCTGAATGACGTTTGGCTTGCTCCCTCTCTCTTGAGCTCTGCTTATTGAGAACAGTCAAATGGAAGCAACATGAATAATGGAGCGTAATATAAACATATTAGCTCCCCAGCTGTGTGTTAGGAAAAACATTATATGATGCTACAGATGAGGGGCTTTTTGACAATGAAGATGCTAGAAATGTTGATCTAAATAGCGATACTATATGCTGGAAAGTAAACAATTAGTAAAGCTCATGAGTAAGTGTGTCCAACTGACAATTCCCAGGCTGCATTGAAGGGTCCTGAAAGGATCATTGAGGATGATGGGCTACCAGATGACGAGATAGTAAAGTTCTTGAAAGATGATTTATGCCACCCACATACCCTACTTCCTCTGTGGATCCTATAAGGTTGTTTTTGTATCACAATCTTTTTCAAGTTTATTTGTTGATAAGAGGGCTTAGATACACTCTCTCAGTGGTCTCAGGGAGGTCTCTGCCACAATTTATGCCCTCTTTGCTCCTTGGAGTGTTTGGACTTTACACACACACACACACACACGCATAGCTCTACTCTATCACATGGTTTTATGTATTAAGGAGAAGGTGAGGTATAGATATGTTTGCTTCCATCCAGATTTTTTTATAATAACTATATAAAGTTGCTAGATAGGAAGGTATTTGTACATAAGAAGATAATTTCCCTTATCGCCAGAAATTTTGTTCATAATGAGCTCCAATTTCACAACCAACAGGAAAAATGTCAGCATAATTCTTTCCCATAGAAATTTTCATTTCATATAGCCCATTCCAAATTTTTGAAACAGTCAAACATTTTGTGTAACGTGGATCTCACTTCTCTATTTTAGCACAAACAGCTCTTGTATTTCATTAAAGTCAGCCACCTCTGCGACTTTAGTGCTTTGCCTTTTGTCTTACACACCTTTTTCATTTATGTTCACAAAAGAAATAAATGATGATATAACAGTTATACTGTCTCAAATTTACATTATTCTTGTTTCCATGTCTAACTTTAAGAAACAAATCGTTGGAAAATAAATAGCCATGAACTGTGGGGAAATTATTGTTTTGTTTTTTTGTTAATTCATTCCATTGTAAGACCTTTCAGAAGCAATAACACTGTTTGCATCAGTTTTACAGAAGCACTTAACAATGAGTCTACATGTTTAGATTTTGTATTTGGTTTGTAATTGGTTTGAAATTCCAAGCTGATATGAGAATCTCCATATCTATCAAATTATTTGAAAGAACATCATGGTAAAAAAAATGCCCACTATGATGAATGTGCCTAACAGTACCAAGATGTTCAAGTCCAATACAGTTTTGCAATTCTTGACATTTCTCAACAGTTGAGAAGAATAAGCAAATACACACTGTAACGAGGATTATACTGATAACGTGTTTGTAGTTAAAATATTTTTCTATCCCCTTACTTTTAACTATTGGTTCATACTCCTGAAAACTCTTGACATACCTTTGCTGGTAGGCGGAGATTCCCTGCGCGTTCTGTGGGGTCCCGTTTGAGGTTCCCGGTACCGGCACGGGTACTCTTCCCACCGGGGGTCCGGTCACTATCCCGCCGCTCCCATTGCTGCCCCCTACGCCTCCAGCCCCGGCTCCTCCGGCGACCGAGGACGTCACCTGGACGCTGAAATCCGGGAATATCCTGATCATTGTTCCAGCCGTCTGTGTTTACGCACTCCGGTACTTTTCTCGTACGAAAAGTAGATCACTGACAACTGCGTTCTCTTTGCTCAAACGAGCTGTTGATTCACAAGTACGTGTACAACTATTAATACAAATTATTAGTATTATTATTGTTGACAATAATATTTGTTTTTGTTTTTAACTGACCCTTGCATCTAACTCTTCAGCGGATCTGGATCATGGTTGCGTGCAAATAGTAAAAAAAATAATGGACCAAAGGGTTGCTGCGACCAAAAATGTTAACGAAAAACATCATGACTTTTTGTGGATAAAAACGCCATTGCTTCCCCCACCCACCCCCCTTTCATTCTTCAAAGGTAACCCCGCTGCTCCAGGTCATGGTCCCAGTATCTCTGGCGCGTGACATCTCCCTTCTGCTTAAAGTCAACAGCTGATCAGTGATGGGCAAGTAACAAGTCATTATTTCACCCATGGAAGGCTGACGGGTGGTATCAGTGCTGCTGTCAGCCGATGCAGGAGTTCCCGATTCCCGCTTTACCTCCGAGAAAGATATCCCTTCCCCTTTGCTCTTCCCCGGTAGTTGAGAGCTCGAGGGGGAAAAAGGGGAATACGGAAAAAAGACGGCCAATAAAGTCAGTGCGTAGCTTTCGACAGCTTGAGGTCCGACGTGACAGTGAAACCGTACAGTTGTACAGCGACACAGCGGGAGCTGCGTCGGCGCTGAAGTATGTGTTGGTATGTCAGCAAGCAGTTGTTTTTTCTCATCTGTAGCTACTCCACACAAGTGCAAAAAGAGAGAGGGAGAGAGAGGGGTTGCCCTCAGGCGCCTCTGTGCAGTTGTAAACTGGACTTCTCTTAAAAAAATAAACGGATACACACACACACATACACACATTTCCTTATGTGATCGAGATATGTGATATAGCTCTATAAATCATAATTAATATTTCAACTGAAGTATTTTGACAAAGCAATAGAAAAACTGTGCGCTAATAATAGTAACTTTGATAATAATAGCTTACAAGATAAAATAATAACCCACAAGGCCCACACGTTTACAAGTGCCTGGTGAGGCTCACCAGAATCTTCTAAATTTTTTTAGATTACTAATATGGGCTGTGAATAACAAAAGAAGAGTGTAGCCTACATGGTCTAGTCTCTTACAATACTGATGGGAAGGGGCTGGATTTTCCCCAAAAATGAAAGGTCCTAATGTTTATGTGAAGGTAAAAAGGATATTGTGGGCTTTTCATGTGCACTGGCGTGAAACTATCCGTGACGTCTTGCTATACTGTCTCAGCTGAACACCGTTGAAGCTGTTTATCTTTCTCTCGCTGGATCTGCGTGTGTGATCCGACTAGTGAATAGAGTTGTATTCACTAGCACCCCCTTTGAGAATGTCTCCTCCCCTTTCTTCTTTCACTATGGTGAGTATAACTGTGTGCCCATCCGAAGGTGGCAGACCCGTGACAAAATCCATTGACAGACAGGACCAGGGACGGGAAGGTACAGGCAGCGGGCGGAGCAGGCCTGCCGGGGGACGTCTGGAGACCTTCGCCTGGCTGCAAGTGACGCAGGCGGACACGAACCCTTGTACGTCCTTGGTCAGAGAAGGCCACCAGAAATGGGCACGGGTGAGGCGGAGGGTGTTGGAGATGCCTGGGTGACCGTACAAACGGGAACTGTGGCAGAACTCGAGGACTCTTCGCCTTAGCTGGTCCGGGACAAAAAGCCGGTCCCTGGGGCAATTCTCAGGGACCCGGACGGAAGCCAGGGCCTCCCTAACCTCTCCCTCCAGCCCCAGGCGGGAGACAGCGCACCTCACAGAGTCCGGAAGGATGAAGTGCCCCCTCTGGTCCCGATCCTCCTCGGCCTCGAACACCCTAGACAGGGCGTCAGGCTTAACGTTCTTCGCGCCTGGTCTGTAGGAGAGGGAGAAGTTAAAGCGGCCAAAAAACAGAGCCCACCTGGCTTGTCTGGGGTTAAGCCTCCTGGCCGACTTCAGATATTCCAAATTCCTGTGGTCAGTCCATACTATGAATGGGGTCTCGGCGCCCTCCAGCCAGTGCCTCCACTCCTCGAGTGCTAATTTGACGGCCAAGAGCTCCCGATTCCCAACGTCGTAATTGCGTTCCGCACTGGACAGTTTCCTGGAGAAAAAAGCACAAGGATGAATGCGACCTTCGCTTGCCTCCTGGCTTAGGACGGCCCCCACCCCGGAACTGGAGGCGTCAACCTCCACCACAAACTGCTTTTCAGGGTCAGGTGAGATGAGGATGGGAGCGGAGGTAAACAACCTCTTGAGGCCCCGAAAAGCCTTGTCAGCTGCCTCGTTCCATGTGAACTTAGCCTTGCCTGATGTGAGGGCGTGGAGGGGAGATGCGACCTGACTGTAGCCCCGAATGAACCTCCTAAAGAAGTTGGAGAAGCCCAGGAACCTTTGGAGTTGTTTGCGGTCCACTGGGGCTGGCCACTCGACCACCGCCCTTATCTTGGCTGGATCCATGGAAACCTGACCTGGAGACAGAACAAAGCCGAGAAATGCGGTGGACGTGGTGTGGAACTCACATTTCTCGGCTTTGACGTACAGCTGGTTCTGCAGGAGCCGGAGGAGAACTGAGCGTACGTGCAGCTTATGGGTGATGGGATTGTCAGAATAGATGAGAATGTCATCGAGATATACAAAAACATAGTGACCAATCATGTCCCCGAGTACCTCATTGACCAGATTTTGGAAGACGCCCGGAGCGTTGGTGAGGCCAAACGGCATGACGAGGTACTCGTAGTGGCCAGTTGGGGTATTGAACGCCGTTTTCCACTCGTCGCCCTCCCTAATGCGGACCAAGTGGTAGGCGTTGCGCAGATCGAGTTTTGTGAAAATCTTGGCCCCTTGGACCTGGTCGAATGCAGAGTTCATCAACGGGATCGGGTAACGGTTTCTGACAGAGATGGCGTTGAGTCCCCTGTAGTCGATGCAGGGTCGCAGTGTCCCGTCCTTCTTTCCCACGAAGAAAAATCCCGCCCCGGCGGGAGAAGAGGACGGCCGGATTATCCCTGACCTCAGAGACTCGTTGATGTACTTCCGCATAGCCTGGGACTCAGGAGCAGAGAGTGAGAAGAGACGGCCTCTGGGTGGAGTAGCCCCAGGTAGCAGCTCAATGGCACAGTCAAACGGCCGGTGCGGCGGAAGGCTCGTGGCCCTGGCTTTATTAAAAACCTCCTTGAGGTCATGATACTCCGCTGGAACCCTGGACAGGTCCGGATAATGTTGCTCCGCCCCTCCCCGAGTCTCCGGGCGAGGTTGGGCGGAGGACAGGCACAGTTCGGCGCAGGAGGTAGCCCACCCCTTCACCTCGCCGCGTCGCCAGTCTATCTGGGGGTTGTGTCTGCGGAGCCAGGTGGCCCCCAGAATAATCGGGACCTGCGGGGACTTAATGATCATGAACACCAGCCTCTCCTTGTGATTACCTCCCAACACCAGCTCCACAGGCTCCGAGATGAGGCGGGAGTGGTTGAGCTCATGACCATCCAGAGCGAGCACGCAGCGGGAGGATGGCCCAGGGTGGAGTTTGATGTTGAGCCGCCCTGCCAACTCCTCGTCCATAAACTCCGTGTCGGCCCCTGAATCGATAAAAACGGAGAGTCTGTGGGACTTGTTAGCGGTGATAATGGTGGCAGGGAGTAACCGGTCTGGGGGAACTGCCAGCTTGGTGTAGCTCAGTAGGGATCCCCCTCTCCCTACTGAGCTCGGTCTTTTACCGGACAAGACCGGACCTGGTGACCAGCTCCTCCACAGTAGAGGCAGAGCCCCTGCTGCCGCCTGCGCAGGTGCTCCTCTCGGGGAAGGGCTGTCCTCCCCAGCTGCATGGGTTCAGGAGCGACTGCCCCCTGGGGTGGAGAGAAAGGCACGGGAGGAGCCGTCGGCAACCCCGGAGGGGGGTTAGCCCGGCGCTCCCTCCGCCGCTCCAGTTCGAAATTAATTTCGCATTGGGTGAGGAATGCCCGGCACTGTTCGGGATCTCCCCGGAAATGCCCGGGCGGAGTCAGACGCGGCTCTGGCGGTGTCCCCGCCGGTGACGCTGAAGCCGGAGGCGGGGCTTGCGGCGGCAGAGAAGCAGGAGAAGCTCGATCGCGGAGATGACCCAGGATCTCCACTACACCAGCCTCTAACTGTGAAATGGATCTCTCCACCCCCGCTCGCCACTGTTCTTCGGGTGCTGGGTCCTTGTTTGGCCAGATCGTACTGTTACGAACTGTGGTGGGACCCAAAAACACCCAGGCACGGAACAGTAAGTTAATAGGGTTTATTTGGAGCAGGAGCGTGGGGAAAGCCCGGAGGGGCGTGGCGAGCAAAGACCGGCTCGCAGCCGGAAGGCTCGCCGCTCGGCTGTGGGATAATCCAAAACAGAGTCCAGGAACGTACCAGGGGTCAGCACCAGAGAAGCAGTCCGTGGGGGGAGCAGGCAGAACTCAGAGTCGGGGGCAGGCGTGGTCGAAAACAGGAAGGCAGTCCGGAATAGGCAGGAGAAGCAGACAGGGATCAGGCAGGCTCGGAGTCAGGCAAACGGGTCAGGCGTGGATCAGGCGGGTACAGAATCAGTCAGACGGAAACGGGTCGAGGTACACAGGCGATCAGGATACAGAATGCTGGATGTTCTACCGAAGGGTTAAGAGACGATCTGGCACTCGAGGCAGGTGAGAGCGGAGTATAAGAGGAGGTGATGGCAGGTGGGTCCAATCTAGTTGATTGCAGAGGAGAGATGGTGAAACAGAAACGGTAGGTGGAGCCAGCTCGAGTGCCAGAATGTCACAATTATTGCATATTCTGAACAGTCTATGAGTGAGAGCTAAAAAAGACAATTAAGGAATGTTTTCACTACATTTTAGTTTCAAGCTAAAATACGTTTCTCAGTCATATTTGACACAGATAAACAGTTCTCAAAAAGCATTTATTTTTAAAGACTATTTAATCAAAGAATATGATTCATCACTTTTGTTTCATCTTCTATACATTTGTACAAAATTTATACAAAATACAAACATTTTAAACGTCTTTATGTAAGCACCATCTCTGAAGATTAGATGGGTAATATAGGATGTATTTTCAATATTTCAACCCATGAACCATTCAAAACCCAATGATGACTCCTCCAGGGACCTCAAGCTCCACCTTTAGAGCTCCTTATAATCTACAGTTCTTCTGTCCTCTGAAACAAAGCATGGGCCTAATAAAATGTCCCAATTGAACTGATTAAAAACCAATAAAAACACACTGCTCACCACTCATCCACCTTGCTGTCTAAATTGGATGGAAGCTCTACGTAGCAACTTGTAATGAAAACCACTGTTATCAAATCTCAACAGTTTGCTTAGCTTACTTTCTTACTTTTTCATTACTCCATCTAATGAAATCAAATTAATTTAACTGTAGATTTAAAGAACTAGGACAAAACTGTGGATGCATGTGTTGTGATGTGCATGGCCTATAACCACCTACTCAATCTGTGTTTGTGATACCATTGACAAATATTGTGAGTAAGTGATGAATAGTCTTTTATGTGCATGTGTGTGCCTGAGTACACGTGTC